AAAAAAACCCTCAATACTTAAAAATAGTCTCTTTGAGAAATCGGAATTCAATGTATTTGGCTTAAGGTTTTATTTATATATGCAGACTTATATATAGTTTATAAGCCACATGGTCCTAATGACTCTGAATGGTTTATAATTAAAAGTAAGAAAAGAATAAGAAATCACAAATAACCTGAAGATGAATTTATAACTTTTAAAAAATCCTCCAAATGATGGGTTGAGCCATCATCCTGCCTAAAGCCCAGGAGAACCATTTGATCTTTGGTAGGTTTCCGAATGTAATTGGGGTAGAAGGCATGAAGATCTCTGGGACATTATCATTTCAAAGCTTCCTGGGTTGTATTGGATGACACTGCACAATCAATGGGGACCAGAATGTGGGTGAAACAGTATATTGAAAATGTTCATATAATTTCAGTTAATAACAGAAACTGAAGTGCCAAGAAACTAAGATTAACCAAATTGCTGATTTTGGTCATATTTCTGGTTAAATGAGTGTAGATAATTTACAGTGATGGTATAATGCTAACATAGAAGAATTTTTCATTCAGAAAACAATTTTTTGAACCTTCAAAATCCATTCTGAAAAGAAATAAGGGAGAGCAATTTTGCACTAAAAAGTCTGTCAAAACAGAATATAGTATATCTTACAACAGTGGTGGTGAACCTATGGCACGCATGCCAGAGGCGGCACTTAGAGCCCTCTCTGTGGGCATGCGTGTCATCACCCCAGCCCCACCTCCCCCCTTGGCCCCTCCTCACCAGCATCCCCCCTGGAGGAGCGTTGCCCCCGAGCGTGGCCCACATGGAGCAGTGCAGCCAAGGACATGGCAGCTGGACAGCGGGGACAAGACTCCGCCCTCGTGCCCCATTGCAAGCAGATGATGCTGTGGGGTGCGGGCAGAAGGCGTGACTGCCATGGCGCTGCTGGGCTGCCTGGGTGATCTGCGGTGGGCCATGGAGGTGGTGGGTGGCTGGGTGGGGTGGGGTGGGGCGGAGGCTGGGGCAGAATGGTGGTGGGCAGGGGCAGGGCCAGTTTTTGAGCACTCGGTCTCTAAAGGTTTCGCCATCACTGCCCTACAAGGTCTAAAATTGAATGCAGTAGTACTGTTAACATATGAAACTAAACTAAAACAGAACCAAGCTTGTGAGAAAAGGTCTTCTCCAAAGTGGCCTGCCTGTTGGGATATTTTTTTCCACTTGGGAGAGTCAGGCTCTAGAGATGTCCTGATCTACCTTTATCTCCAACAATCTTGGTGCTGCTTCTTCTCTTCTGGTATCACATCCATTCCCCAGCAGCAGAAACAAAAATGGCCAGAGAGGCAGGGCCTGGAAAGGACAGAATATGCCCACAGTTGCAAAAACTAGCCCTTAGGACCTGGACAGATGCCGACCCTCTCAAGTCTCCACCACAGTTATCACTGAAGTAGCACATTTGATGATAAGCATGGCTACACTTAAATATTTGCCACAGAAGATGGTCAGCCAATCAGTGTGTGTACTTTCTGGTCAAAAGTTCAGCAAAGAAAACTGTCAGCCAAGCGGTACTCATTTGCAATCATTTAAAAATGGCTAGCAGTAAATTACCTCATTCCACTAGGTGCAAAAACTTCACAGAAGTTGCTAATGTTCTGCCTCTCATCTGATCCATGCATTTCATTTTCCCTTCTCATATGCTCCGTGCAAAAAAACCCATAGACAAGTTGAAAGGAAATTCTGCTAGAAGTTAATAACTAATACACAATATTATGCATATACTATGCATGCCATAAACGCCCTTAAAATATCTGCAGTCCATGGTTATACATTTCTGTTACTCTCCAGCTTCCTGTAACCTGTAAAGCTGGCATATCAGCAATTTTGCATTTGAGCATCTTTCTAGTTATGATGCTAGAACAGAAGCTAGGAGCAGGGGGCAGCATAAGGCAAGAATTTCTTTCAAGGATGCCCAAACATTCCTCAAAGTACAAGTCTATGATAGGTTGCTGTTTTTAAAGTGGCATTTGTTGTTTTAAAATAGCATTTCTTTTCCCTCCCAAGAATAAAATAGCATGGCACAAAGACCAGTCGTGACTTCTGCAGATTCCCAGTAATATTGTCATGGGATCAGTTGAGGTGGTGTGAATCAGATCACTTTGCTATATGGAAACTTCTTCGGAAATTATCACTGCAATCTTTTGTTATCTAGTAGGCCAGTGTCTCCCAAACTTGACAATTTTAAGGCATGAGGACTTCAACTCCCAGAATTCCACAGCCAGCAACGCTGGCTGTGGAATTCTGGGAGTTGAAGTCCACATGCCTTAAAATTGTCAAGTTTGGGAAACACTGTAGTAGGCTATTCCAAGGCTACACCTTATCTCAGAACTCTATTTCTGCACATAGAGAGAAAGCTGATAGCAGACAGGGAGATTCTCCTTTCAATACATCCTACCACCCTTTATGTTTAAGATGCTCTGTTTATACATTAGACTGAGAAAGCTAGCAAGCTGATGTTAGTGCTTGGAGAGACGAGATTCACAGAATCCAATACTTTCCCTCCTCGGATATCCTTTCTTCTCCAAACGGGCCTCTATATCGCTCAGAATCTCTCATTGATGCAATAAGGCAGTGTTTCCCAAACTTGACAATTTTAAGGCATGTGGACTTCAACTCCCAGAATTCCACAGCCAGCATTGCTGGCTGTGGAATTCTGGGAGTTGAAGTCCTCATGCCTTAAAATTGTCAAAGTTTGGGAAACACTGCAATAAGGAAGGAGGAAATATTTAAACAACCAAAATAGGGAAGTTATTTTCTCTCTCCTCCCCATCCCATTTCTCATTTTGAAACCCACTGCAGGAGCACATGACATTTTGGGGATCCTCAGAAACTCTGGAATTGGATTTTTCGGCACGAACATATCCATTAACCAATATTCATGTCGTCAAATAAAACCACATGAACAATGGTTGATTTAAGCAGAAGGAAATTGGGTATCTTCAGAGAAATTTTAAGGTTTGATATCACTTAATATATGTTATGTATTAATATTTTCTGAGATTAATCACTTAATCTTGATTTACAGTATGTTGCTTTATGATGTCATAAAGGAATGCCTTATTAGAGTTAAAGAATGCAATTCATCATGGAAGCACTTTCCCTTCCTTTTTGGAATGCACCAATGCTAAAACCAGCCAACCATGGAATCAAGTCCTTCAACAAAGGCAAAAAATCTGGTTGGTCTGCAGACAAATAAATTAGCAAAATAACACGGCTTATCTTGGGAGGATACACAATAGAGACAGCAACGTCTGCTTAGAAACATCTGCAAAATGAGATCAAGATCTCCCTGGTTCCTTTGTATATTTTTTGAATCAGCATTTCAAGGATACTCTCAGTTCTTCCTGTGAAAACATTCTTTACATGAGCTGCAGAATTTGGCTCTGGGTTAGAAAGAGTAAGTTGTTCTTATATTATATTGGGGTTTAATGGTGTTTTCAAGGGAAATCCATGGATGAGAGGTGTGGATCAATAATCTTTCTCTCACTTGCTCCATAGATTCAATTGTTTTGCACTGACTGGTTTGGTTAGGCTGATAATCCAGCAGGGAATATGGGTAGGAATGATATAGGGAGGACATATCCAACAGGGAGTCAGCAAAATGAAAATGGTATTTACGAGAGTAAACTGACAGCATATTTTATAAATATTATATTATTTATTTATTACTTTTCTATGCTACTCATCTCACATGCAAAGCAATTTTTTGCCTATTCATCTTCACAGAGATCACGTTTTCTTTGTTTATGTACAGATCTGTTTCTCAATCTCAGCAACTTTATTTATTTATAAAATTTATAGGTCACCCGTCTTACCTCAATATATCTTTAAGATGCATGGACTTCAACTCCCAGATATCCCATCCAACCTGTGAATCCTGTGTAGGACAGAGTTCCCCCAATAATGGACAAGCAAGAGAAATGGGAGCCAACTCAAAGAAATACCCCAACTTTCACAAATGTCCCAGCATTCTGTTCTTATTAAATATTTTTCTGCAGTTTAAAGAAGTCCCATCACGATATAGGACTCGGCCTACCAAATATGCACAAATGTATACACTTTTATTAGATTAGATTAGATTAAGTTATCTATTTAAACATTTCCTGAAAACCAACAGGTATGTCTTAATAAAACTCAATCACTCAAGGGACGCACACAGACACACACTTTCAAATCACTGTTGATTCCTTGGGACTGCCTGAACTAGTCCCTGCAGTTTTCTTGGCAAGTTTGCAGTAGTAGTTTGCCATTACTTCCTTCCTAAGCGAGACAGACTAGCCCAAGATCACCCAGATAGTTTTGTGCCCAAGGCAGGACTAGAACTCACAGACACCCGGTTTCTAGCCTGGTGCTACTATACCAAAGTGGCACTCAGTAGACAATTATCAAGACATACTGATTCAGAATAGGCAATCCACAGATCTGCCAAAGTCCACTTTGTCTATTTTTGAAACCCTTTATTCTCTGCAAAAAGAGTTCTGTGTGTGAGATTTTGTGTTTGGGTGGACAAATATGCACACATGTATGCTTCTTTTGTGATGATTGTAAGAATTTCTCTAAATTTTATAAAGAGAAACAGACCTAATCTTTTAAACTCTATGAGATTGAAGATAGAAGGGGAAAATAATTAATTTAATTATTACTCGAGCTCATAATTGGAAAGTGGCTGAATAGCTGGAAGCTCACTTGTCTGCAAGCACAAAGGGCATTTGAAATATACTTAAGAAAAGCATTGAGCCTAAGCTTTTCAATTACAACTCCAAAACCCAGCAAATAAAAATTAAAAAGTTAAATACCAGTGAATTACTGGAACAATCAGAGCAGAAAACTCTGGCCTTTTGCCTTATGATAAATGATTTAACCACATTTGACTGACAATGTTCTTTTTAACTTGATGAATTAATTCACCCATTTGATTGTACAGTTTGAATAAGACAATTTCTTTGTCTTTGCAGGACCCCAGCATTGTTTCTTCATTGGCTAGACAGGCTCAGAAGCCACTCCTCCTGCTAATGAAGTGCTCAAAGGAGCTTCCTGTGTTTCAAGATTCAAGGGCAGAGTCATCCCGTGACATCCTCTTGCAATGGAAGTTATCTGGTGGGAGACCCTTGGCTTGAAGCTGTTGGCAGGTAAGAGTGCCTTTCTTAGGATAGTTAGCTGTACTCTGGGATATCCATAGCTCTAAAATAGATGAAAAGGCATTAGGAGCATACAACACTAATGTTATGACAGATTTTTTAAGTTAACGAGAGGAATATCTCAAGTAAGATACATCCAGCAGAGTGAAAGAAATAATCAGTGACTCAGGCAGACTTCCCCACAAATCTCCCTTAACATTTGTAAGCCTTTCTCTGGTGGTATATGAGAAAATGCTTAATATAAAAAAATTGTGAGAAAGAAGAGGCTGTTTCTCCCAAAGGGACAATACATTTGAAGCAAATCAGCCCCTTTGGATTTGAGGGATGACCATGTGCGTTGAGCAAGCCTCCTAAGGTGGATCTTGTTTTCTCCTCCAGTCTATGCAGGTCTTTGCCATGCTATTATAGTGACCCAGAAGGAACGCTTCAAAATCATCCCAGAGGGGATCCAGACAAATATCACCTGCAATTATGATGATAGCAGCTACATCATACTCTTTTGGTATCGGCAGGACAGCAACGCTGGAGAGAAGCAGTTCCAGCTTATTGGATACTCCATTGCTGAAAGTGATATGAGAAGGGAAATCTTGACATATGAGATCACTAGAAGAGCAGTGACTCATTCTTCCCTTATCATCCCTCCGGAAGAGGCTGCAAAGCCCGCAGTATACTTCTGTGCAGTTAGTGAGGCACAGTGAGAACTCCAGGTCACCCAGCTACACACAAACTACCTAGCGCTGTTTTGTTGCCGGTCTGTGTCACATAGATTGCAGCCATGTGCACAGATCCATCCACACAGGATTGAAGCGAAACACTGTTTGCCTCTGAATTGTGATTTTATTCATTGATTTCTCTGCTCGTATTTTCAATTATTACACATTTCCCTTTTTGAGAAGTTAACCATTTATTTATTTCTTAATTTGCAAAATGTCAATGCTGTCCCAGTCATAGCACATTAAGTGGATAGAAGAAGGCCCACAAATACATCTAATACTATTTATGATCAAATGAGGGCCATTGGTAGTCTTCCACAATTCCAAACTGGAATGAGAGCTTTCCAAGCCAGAGCTTTAGAAGTGAGTTGCAATCTTGCAAAAGATATAGCAATAGCAATAGCGTTTAGACCGTTTAGACCGCATCATAGTGCTTCACAGCACTCTCTGGGCAGTTTACAATGCGGAAGTGCTATATTTGCATATTGGCCCCAACAATTTGTGTCCTCATTTTACTGATTTTGGAAGGATGGAAGGCTGAACTTTGAGCTATTCTGTGAATTGACCAGAAACACAAACAAACAAGCAAACAGATTTCTAATTGTTATGCCATACCTAACGAAAGCAGGGACTTTGTATTATCTGTCATTCAAAAGATTTAATAATAAACATTTGGATTTCTTTCTGTGCCTAGAGAGACCACTATGGCAGTGTTCAGAAAAGCTTGATTAAGGTTGGGACCACTGTCAGCGTTTAGGTGGCATAGCTTGGACCTCCTTCAAGCCACTCATTCTTTTGCTTTAAAATCCCGTCTTAAGCAAGCAAAGAATATGTGTATGTAGTGGCAATATATTTTTTTCTGATCAGTCCCAAGAATACATGGTGCTTTTGCCAAGGAAAAGGTCAGTATGTTCCTGGGGCATTTAGAGATGCCTCTGCTCACTGTTCCCTATCTGCCTCAAGTAACTGTTGAAGAACTTTCTGTTTGAAGGAAATAAGGGTGGGGATTGCTTATTCTTGCTTCACAGTCCTTGGCAATTTCCATTTACAAATCATGAGATTCTTAGTTCAAACCATTGCTTTCCCAATAAACATTAGTTGGATTCATTATAAGCTTTTTTAATGTGTTTGAGTCAGTTTTGATTCCTGGTTAGTCTCTACAGTTTTCTTGGCAAGGGTTTTTGGAAGTGGTTTAACATTGCTGCCTTCCTAGGGCTGAGAGAAAATGACGGGCCTAAAGTCACCCAGCTGGCTTTGTACTTAAGATGGGACTAGAACTCATAGTATCCTGGATTCTAGCCTGAGGCCTTAACTACTATACTAAACTGGTTTCCCCCCTTTCCTAAACTGAGTTATATTTTTTACAGCTCACTGTTGTGTGAACCCAGCCAATGCACTGAGTTTATGGTTTAGTTGTTGTATATAATCAACTATTGGGATTAATTCAAGAAACAAAGGTTTAAACTAATCACATATATCAGTTTATCTAAATAAACGTATTTCCCATGATAATTAAACTCTAGTAACAATTGGAATAGTGGCAGCTGATTTTGAACAAGGCTGGTGGCCCAGAGGACAGAGTCATACTGTAATACCGTAGTTGGAATCAGGGGTTGCAGTAGGCAGAGGCAACCAGCTCTAGGTAGTGTGTCATCTTTCTCTTGTATTCAATACATTTAAGCAAAATACATTAGCACTCCATATTATCTAAGACCTTTTCCCCGCTAGTGGCTGATAGCATTTTCTAGAGTCATCGTGTGAAAATAAGAGTAAGAATGAAGCTCCAGTAACAACTATGTAGTTACATCTGTTTAAGTCACTGGAAAAATCGTCAGTATGACTGAAGAATAGTGTCAAAACATTCCGAAAATAAAATATGAACCAAAAACACAAATATATTTATTAGGGTTGGAATGGTGAAACATGACAGTATGCATTCACAGCAGAAATTCAGGCAAGAATGGATTCCTTCTCATAGCAAGGCAAGCTAAGACCGTTGGCTTAAAGAGAGATGGCCTCAGGGGGGAGATCTAATCAAACTTTCAGATTATTTAGAAAAGGAAAGCCTGCTCCTGCTATCTCAGTAAGATTTTCTTCAACGTTGTCAGAAGTACGACATGACTGCTCAGCTAACAAGATGGGTAGCTGCTTTTCTTTGGGTCGCAAGTATTAATTCCAAGTGGAGGGATTTGAGCTAAGGACTAAATAACAGAGTGGAAAAATGAATTTCCTAGGGTAGCAACTTTTTGCACAGGACATGACAGCATTAGCTTTTCAGATTCAGTAGGAAACAAAATGGTCTCTTAGTTACCTCCTTGATGTTTTGATCTAACACTTGGACCTGATGGAGTAACCAGAACATTGCATTCATTTTCCTTAGATTGGGGCATAGAGATTTCCACCATTAAGCACAAAATACATTAGTTTAATTTTAAAAGATGGTGGTCCAATCCATTCTTAGTTTCATCTTTGTTGTTTGCTTTATATGGGAGAAAGTCATGTTCAGGTGTATGTATGCTTAAACATGCATCCCTAGTTTATACCCAATCCTATCAAAACAAATGGAAAAAATTATATTCCTGAATTAACTAACTTTTAGTAAATCCAAATGTTAGAGCTAACTGCTTTATTTCCTCCCTGTACAAAAATAGATGCCAAAGATCTACATAACTGAAACTAAAAATTTGGATCAGCTGGATTGTATAGCCTGCTGATTCCATAAAAGACTGCAGATTCTCATCTGAAAAATTATGCTAGAGCTTATTTTTTTTAACGTACATTTTCTTCTAGGATGCTCAGATGCCAACATTATCCAACCACAGAGCATGATGCTGGAAGAAGGTCAAGATGCTAGACTGGAATGCAGACAAGACTATGGACATCTTAATATGCTTTGGTTTTGGCAGCGTAAACAGCATCAGGATCTTCAGCTCCTCTATAATTTCTATAATGGTAACATCGTGCAGAAAAACTCATCTTTGCACCGTCGAAATGCTGACCAGCCTATTCTGGATCTCTGTGTTTTGAGTATATCAGTTGTGAAGCCAGAGGATTCAGCAGTTTATTTCTGTGCAAGCAGTGAAACCACAGCACATCAAAATGCCATCTCTTCCTTCAAAAATCTTCTCCATTTGTTTTTAAACTGTGAATCTCGTGTAGTTACAAAGATACCTTGGTCTTCTCAACCAGGCTCAGCTATGTACTGATATCAACTAAACTTATAAATTGAACTCAAGCAGTTTGAAGGCTGGATGGATGATACTAAGGGACTGGAGATCCAATAATGGGCAGGTGGTCATTACTTACATAGCCAAATTGAATTTTGTTATGATGTCACTGAGGAAAAGCAAACTGAGTTCGGAGATGTATCATGAGAGCAATTGGGAATAAGATTGCTCCCAAGATTGCTAAGAAATGTCCTTCTTCCCTGAGATAGTTAAGGGGAATAAAAGACAAGGTAGTTGTACGTTAAGTAGGGTACCATGTCTCTGGAGGCAGAAATCCAGGCAATCTAGATGGCTGCAAAGAGAAAGGGAAGCTACTGTAACTCTCTGCTGCCATCTCGTAGACATATTGTAAATAAGGATGGAGTTCTATACCTCTAAGGCAGTGTTTCCCAAACTTGACAATTTTAAGGCATGTGGACTTCAACTCCCAGAATTCCACAGCCAGCATTGCTGGCTGTGGAATTCTGGGAGTTGAAGTCCACATGCCTTAAAATTGTCAAGTTTGGGAAACACTGCTCTAAGGGAAGATCATTTCCGTTATATGTTCATGCAGTATTATAGTTAAAGAAAGTTGCCATTGTTTCTAAACAACTAGTCCCCTGATTGGACTGAAGCAGACTATAATAACTCCTCCTACTGCAGACACCACAGTAAGAGAATACAGAAGAAAGGAAATAAAACCAGGATAAGAATGGTTAAGAGTCTAATTTTGGAGTAAGCCATTTATCACCAGCTTATAAGAAATTATGCCACTTCTGATCAAATAAATTCACTTTTGCCATATTACTTTCCCAATAATTTCTGGAGACCTTCTAGTAGCTGCCTCACACTCCTTCATATTCAGCTTCTTGTTAGAGACCACACCCAAGTCCTTTTCATATGTCTCCTTGAAGATGTCTCCTACGTTTCTTCTTCTTCTTCAGTGTAATACCTTGTATTTCTTTCTGTTAAAGGACCTCTTGTTTCTCTCAATCCATCTATTCAGATTAGACTGCAATTTCATTCTGTTAGCCTAGTGTTGGCAGACCTCCCAGTTTTGTGACATCTACAAATCAAATCAAAGCAGGCCATCAGTCCCATATCCAGGCCATTAAGAAAAATGTTGAATAATCCTGGCCTCAAGTCTGATCCCCTATTCCCCAACATAATGTAGAGACATTAGTGCTGCTTATCTGAGTGGAATTAAGTCAGCTGATTGTGAATCCACATTATTATAGTGCCTTCCAAATCACATTTTTTTAACAGTGTGATCATCTGGAAGATTATGGAAGTGGAAACTTCTCAGTACAATCAGAGACCCAATGTGACAGCTGTAAAGAATTACCTAGCCTCACTTAAGTTCAGGTGAAGGGCGAAGGATCTCTCTGGGATCCATTTCAATCACAGATCCAGATGGAGATGGGTACTCGGTTTATGTTGTTTCAGCTAAAAGGAGGCAAGGAAGGAAAGTGGAAGTTAAGAATGAAGTAGATGCCTAACCCCACCTTGACCCAGTTGTTTTGCCCTGCACTCCATCACTGACTGCAGAATCTTCCCTGCAGATCACAGACTCTTTTGGAAGTGATTCATGCATCTTAACCTGTCAGCTGCTAAAACTCCACTTAAGCCCTGCCTGAGGGACAGACTGGAGTTTGGTCTCCAGTAATATTGCTTTCATATTGTCATAACTATAGGCACCCACTTAAAAGCTTGGGAGAAAAAAAATACCTGGATCAGATTAGTGTTAATTGTAGGGGTGATGATTTATTATGAAGTGTTGTTTTCTTTGTATATATTTGCATTTTTTGCACCAGCTTTATATATTAGACCTAAAGGTGCTTTTTCACGATATTTCATTTAAGATAGTCAATAGATTTAATCAATATAAAGTTTTCTTCTTGTTCTTCATATTGTCATACAGTGTAGGCATCCACTTAAATGCATGGAACGCACGGAAAAAAGCAAATAAACACAACCCTTAAGGATCCAAGATAAAATTTGTGGCTGTCTTTCTCTTGGAAATTGGTTAAGTCTTTATATTTTTATAGGTTGCAATCCTAGGAGAAATATTATTAAATTAAGAGGGGCTCACATATGAGCAGACACAGTCATATTATACTACTAAATGGTCTACAATGAAATATATTTTACAGGCTGTTCTGAACGAACATTTCTGCCCCTGCCAGTCTTCTCAAATACCAAAATCAGCCAATTGTGGAGTCTGGTGGTACGGCAAGGACACGTTGCCAGGTTGCTGGAGTGCAAGCAAAAAGAAAAAGAAAAAAAAGAGCATAATATGCCCGGCAGCAGCAGCAGCATGAAGGGCAGACTTTGCAGCTCCTCCATTATTTTTCATATGAAAAATTAAGCCTATTGAAGAGCCACAGAATGAGTTCTGCAATTTGAACTCCTTCCTTCCACCACCACCCTTCAAGTAAGACATGTATTTTGTGCAAGCAATGAAAGTATAGTCCCCTAGAGCAGTGTTTCTCAGCCTTGACAATTTTAAGGCATGTGGACTTCAACTCCCAGAATTCCACAGCCAGCATGCCTTAAAATTGTCAAGGTTGAGAAACACTGCCCTAGAGGGAACTTCATCGTTTGACAAAAATATGCCATGACCTTTTTGTCTCAGGCCTGGGTAGCAATTGAGAATAATAAGCATTTCAAAATCATGTGATTCGATTATGATCCCATGGAAAGGCAAGTCAGTATTGTAAAAATGCTATTACATCTCC